AAAAAAAAAAAAAAAAAAAAAAAAGAAAACAAAAGAGGAAACTGGGAGTATAGTTACAACCTACAGAGGAATACACGGAATAAACAGCAAACGTCACCTGCAATTTTTTCACGTATGTTAATCCTTCTGTGCAGTTCTGTGCACATTTTTTGATGGCATCCCTTATCCGTGTGAGCAGGTGCTAAGTTGAGTGTGCGCCTTGGTGGTGGAGCAGATTTTGGACCAGGTTCGGGGAATGTGTGGTCTGGAGTATCTCTGACGGTCCAGTTGGTGAGCACTTGGTCGTGAATCATCGCCTTGCTGGAGAAGATTTGGACCAGGATCGATGGATGTGGTGCACATTTTGGACCAGGATCGATGGATGTGGTGCACATTTTGGACCAGGTTCGGTGAATGTGCTCTTCGAGAAGATTTGGACCAGGATTGGCAAAGTGGTGCACATTTTGGACCAGGATCAATGGATGTGGTGCACATTTTGGAACAGGTTCGGTGAATGTGGTCTTGGAGAAGATTTGGACCGGGATTGGCAAAGTGGTGCACATTTTGGACCAGGATCGACGGATGTGGTGCACATTTTGGACCAGGTTCGGTGAATGTGGTCTGGATATCTCAGGTGCTCCCGTTGGTGATCGCACGGTGTTGGATACTCGCCTTGGTGGGTAGCATATCCTGGACCAGGATCTGCGAACTGGTGCAGATTTTGGACCAGGAGGATTGATTGACCAATGTGGTGCAGATTTTGGACCAGGATAAAGTCGATGAGTGTGGTGCAGATTTTGGACCAGGTTCAACTCGATGAATGTGGTGCAGATTTTGGACAAGGATCAACTCGATGAATGTGGTGCAGGTTGACGTCCACTGCAGAAGTTAATTGGAATTCTGTTCGGATCTGCTGAGTGGTGGAGAAAGGTCCTAAGGCTTGCTCCACTCAACAACAGTCTTAATGTATCTATAGCTACTGATTGGTCCCGATACATTCAAAATGATAACTCGCTGCGACTGTATATGGTTCACCACACTGTCCAGATTCAGGTAGAATGCTGTGTAGTGGAGCGAGGCCCAAAGTCTAGAGGAGGTGGTGGGGATAGGGAGGGGGGGAGGGGAGGAGAAGGAGGAGAAGGAGGAGGAGTAGGGAGAGGAATGAAAGACAGAAAAAGGAAAAATCAAAGGAGATTCTGGGAGAAGTTGATGGGGGGAAAAAACAAAACAGGCAGAGAAGTGAAGTCGATGAGCGGGTTTATTGTGGAGGTCCTGAAGGAGCAGAAAAACGTGGACCAAGAAAAGGACAAAAAAAAGAAAAAAAAAGAAAAGAGAGAGAAGCTGATTGAGGTGGCGTAGCGGGAAACCGGACTGCAGGAGTAGGATTGGCAAAGGTGGGAAGAGGAGACGGGTGCATGACCAAATAATTGGCCAATTACTCAATTATAGGCTATAAATTATCATCATGAACATGAATGATTAGCAAATTAGGGGATCACTAACAATCATTGACAAGTACATCGAGAGCTTTTTCTTGAGACGTCAGTGGGAGAAAGATTGAATAGCAGTCTGCTCCTTTTAGGATCTCAACCACAGAGAGAGAGAAAGAGAGAGAGAGAGAGAGAGAGAGAGAGAGAGGTTTTTTGTTAGAAGTAAGTGTGAGAAATTGGGGTTGTACCTCCTGCTGCTCCTGGAAATCCAGGGGACACGCCCATTCCTTCTACCGGGGCAGCTATCTAGAGTCGGGATCCCACTTCTTTGTTGTCCATTGCAGAAGTTATCCTTATTAGGTAAGCAGGCCAGATCTCAATGATCGCCATCTTATCCATTTTCATCGGACGTGTATAAGGATCGCTTTCTATTGTTTTTTTTGTCGTTTTTCTGCTTTCGGCCCTCCCCCTTCGGTTAGTGGGGGATGGGGTTCCAAATGATGATGATGGGTTCCAAATCGCTGATCATGATGCAGATTATCCTTCTCTCTTCTCTGGTCACTTTCATCGATGGTTCGGTGCAAACGACGAAGACGAAGTACAGTTTATCTGCAACAGATATGGCGTCGTCATTCTCCATAACGGGCAATGGCATCGTCTTGCCCTTTTCAACATCGTCGTCGTTATCCATAAGGACCATAACTGACGAAGAATCTCAAGATTGGGGTCAACGACTGGCCACCGCGAACTCGAAGCAGCGGGATGAACCTGGCACGGTAAAGAAGGAGATAGAGGAGGATGATGAATTGGAAGGGGAGGAGGAGGAGGAGGTAGAAGCCGAGGAGGAGGAAGGTAGCGCGGTGTACAACACAGCGAACACGATTTCTGATGATGTCCTCAAATTCCCGGAGAAAAGGAGGGAGGAGGAGGAGGGAGTAGAGGAGGAAAACAAGAAGGATGTCAAGATCCACGAAGACGAAAAGGAGCAGGAGAAGGAGGAGGTGGTGGAGGCGGCGGCGGCGGCGGCGAAGGAGGTGGTTTGGATGCGTCGGCTCGCTGGACGAGGACAGCCAATGGCGGAGGAACGCAGCCTTCGTCGGGATCGGAATGGTAACCGATTCTCAGGCATCCTGTCCTCGTCGTCACCTCCGACACCTGGTCCCCGTCCCGGTCCCGGTCCTGGTCCAGGTCCCAGTCCTGGTCCCGATTCCGTACCGTTATCAACTGGGACAGCTGGTCTTGGTTCAATTTCCCTACCGTCGTCACCTTCTGCTGGTTCAAGCCCGATTTTTTTGGGAATTGGAGACAGAAAAGACAGATTTGTTTACAACTCCAGTGCGGTTTTCCTGAATGGCGCAAATCATGCGTACTACCAACACGGAAATGATTTTGGAAATGGTAGAGGCAATGTCACCTTTCCGGCCATGGCCAAAGTCCTGAAAATGGTGAGTTTTATTTTATTTTATTTTATTTTGTTGATCAGTTAATAATTTAATTAACTTAAACAACTTCAAAAACTGTGATTTTTAAACTGTTTTCTTTATGCCACTTCTTTTTTTTTTTTTTTTTTTTTTTTTTTTTTTT